TCTCGAACGAGGGTTGCCCAGCAGCCACCTCGCTGTTGTCGTCGCGATTCCACCCTCTCGCGCAGTGCAGCAATCGTCCTTCTCTCCTTCTCTCCAGGGAAGACGAGAGCCGGAGAATCCAGAAGGAAAAGAGAGCGAAGCGTTTGCGTCGTTGCGTCGTGTGTCGTGTGAATTCCAACGAACCGTGTATCTGTCTGCCCTCGGTATCTCTCCCTCTTTGTCGCACTCTCTGGCTCCTTCTTTCTGGCTCTCGCTTGCTCTCACGTACACAAGGGGGTGAACGAGTACGCGTCAGTGCCGGAGGGGTGCACCACGGGGATGTGCTTCTGGTGAGTGTTCGAGAAAACGTGTGCGTGTGTGTGTATGTGTGTATGTGTGTATGTGTGTGCGCTCGGTGACACGAGGCCAGATGCGTAACACGACGTGCGGTTTTCCTAGGGACAAGACGTCCACTTCACGTTCACGACGTCGATTCGCGCACTGACAATAATGGTAAGACGTCTCGCGGGCATGTGTTTTGTTGGTAGCCTCCTTGACCGCGATCGGGCACGTTGACGTTGATTTATCGAAAGACGATGATCGTCCCCGTCGTGTTCGTACGGTTCCAAGTACACGCGAGCACCAGGGTGAAGGGAAACAGGACAGCGTTGAAAGTTTCTCCGTTTTCTCGCTGCTCTTGGAACTCATCTGCTCGATGGTGGAGCATCGTTTTTTCCTAGGCCTTCCCGAGGAATATGTAGGCCTCCAAAGAACGGAAAAATCGATGCGTATCCAACGGAATGCTGAATAGGATTAAATAAATCAAAACGTTCGACAACACCAGTTCCATTGGCGTTACAGCCCTGTTCCGTGTTACCATTCACGGTGAACGTGTGCGTGCTCGCGTTGACGTCCGTTCGTGCTTGTGCTCGTATTCGTGGGGTGCGTAGCAACCATATGCAGCTGTCCAGGGATTTTTTTCTAACAAATCTATTCGAATGAACCTTTATTTTCGACACTATGACTAAAAAGAAAAAAAAAAAAAAGTCTTCACGCTATTACGAAATTCACGGTGAAAATACTAATTTTGTCGAGCTTATTCTTTTTGTTAATCTAATCTAATCTAAATAACAGGCTGAATTCTCCCCTTTGAGAAGAACGTGAGAATTTCTTGACTTTGCCATTGGTCTCGACTCGCCAGATCAATTCCAGACGTCTGTTCTAAAAATTTTCGCACCGTAAGACCCGAGATTTCCAATGTATACGTCACCTGGCGTGCGTCACACGCTTTCAATTGAAACACTGATAACCAATCGATTTGTCCTGGTATCGCGAACGTCTTCTCGTCGAGTCGAGCGCGTGCATTACGTGCCAGTGGTACATCCGCATTAAGCGGACAGCTTGTAACAGGTGGTATACTTCATGCGGACGTGATTAAGAAAAACGCTGGTGGAACCACGTAGCGTTTCGTTTGTCATCGGGATCCCGATCTGAAAGCTCTCTTTCGTGCCTTTGTAACGTCACAATCGCGCAACATGGCAAAATTAACGCTTTCAAGTTCACCACTCTGTGAACGTGTTCTTAAGAATTTAATGGATCCATCGCGGAGTGGCTATTTAGATCCGTTTGTTCTCCATATCTGCAAGATATTCTACGTTCGACCACGCGAATAAACAAACAAGTCGGCGTGTCACACCATTCTCTACGTTATATCACAGTTATTCGTTCCTTTAGGAACAGATACACACTCGCAGACGCAAACAAAGGAATTTCTTCGTTTCGTTTCTTCGTTCGAACAAACAGATAATCGATTTCTCTGCGTGGTTGTTTGTTATTATACATTGACACGTTAGCGATCCATGTTGTTCCATATGTATATTTAGATTCCGATAGTACTCCCGATTCACAGTCGCGGCACAGAAACGACCGAAATTAAACGTTTGGATGCTTTTATCTTAATTATTATACTGGCGAATAAATTACGCGTGCGAACGAACATGTGTTTTTTTCTAAATGTAGATCGTTAGACCGTGTGTTGGACATAGTATTTCACGAGACAGGGATCGCCCTGTCTCGTGAAATTGGACTGCGAACGTGTCAGCTATAGATAGACATCTCTCGCGGACGCGATTAAAGAAATTTCCTCGTTCGATTTTCGTGTATAGACTTGGAGCGTTATCGCGCACACGATACGTAACGTATACGTCGGGCAATCACGGCTGGTTGTTCCGTTCATAATTCACGGTGTATCAACTTTTCAAACCGGCCGACAATCGTGACCGGTATCAGCGCCGACCGCGGCGTTATCGAGGAGAAACTTCCCTTCGAGATCGCGTTACGCTGACCGCGGACGTTATTTTTAGAGGAAGTTCCGCGCGTGGTAAATGTTCGACCATCGGGATTTCAGACACGTGATAAAAATGCGTCTCGCACGACAGAAGGTTCGCAGAGCGTGGCTGGCGAGCACGGTCCCGTGAAAATGAGCGTGAGGCCGACGAATGATGAATCACGAGAACGGCTGAAAGGCGGCTGCACTGCGTGCAACAACAACAACAACAACAACGACAAGAGCCGGCACAGGTGAAAGTGACGATGAAGAAGAAACAGCGGCGTTCCTAATTGGAGAATGAGCGGATTTTTCAACTCGCTGAGAAACTTCGCGTCAGGAGCCGCGTACGCTGCCAGCTCTGCCTCGAAGTACGAAGAACTGGAAGGTGAACAAAACAAAAAACAAAAAAAAATTTCAACAGTCAGCTGCATGCCGACCTGCAACGGCAGTCGACGTTTTGGTTTCTCGTTTCGTTCTCGACTGTGCATGCGAATTTTCGACCAGCTTTCGCTTCACGGCTGCCGCCTTTTCCTTCTCGATCGAGCCGCTTTTTGCTTCGGACACGAAAAATTGCCGAGTACGGCATTTTTGATTTGATTTTCTCAGACTCGATTTCCAAGCGACGTGATTGCAGGTCTATTCGTTCGTCGCTGATCGAGATAGCTTTCTTTTGTGTTTTCTTTTTACTTTCTTTCCTTTTCTTCCTTCTTGCAATTAGACATAGAGTCCTCCTACACTCTCTTCGGAAATTTTCTACGAATTCTCTCGACTATGGTAATATTTATCGTGTAACTGAAACTGAAAAGATTCGCGGTAGATTGATACCGATGCTTACACTGACAACTTCTTGAAACTGAGAGAGAGAGGGGAGGAGAGGAGGAGAGACTCGTAACTTCGTCCCGATCGTACCGAGAGTCAACAACAATGCTTTCGAAGGAGTCTGCTCTTCTATCGGCGATACGGGGAATATTATTTTGCTATGCAAACGCGAATGCTTCCTCCATCGTGTGCATTGCGGAAATTTTTAAGCCCCGCTCCGCACATTATGAATTTCCTTCCGAGGCACGCTGTTCACGGCGATGCAAATTACAAATTTCACAAGCTGCTATTCGCGAAACGAACTACGATCGAATAAGTTGGAAGTTGATCACACCCACTGAGCGTCGTACTTTATTTCGAATCGAACCAGACCCAGTCAAATGGACTTTTCGTTCAAACAAGACGCTGTCACTCCGACAAAGGTGATTCGGTCACACAGGGATGGTATATAGCAGGTTGATTCGAATTACGAAATTCGCGAAGCTTATCCTTGGGCAACAGAGGTATAATGGAAATCAATCCACGTGTGTATCCCGTAATGCACTCCGATGGACGGGTTATGGATTTTACCGTTTATCCATAAGAGCGCGGTTGTAAAATTCATAACCGGGCAACTTCAACTTGTTGTCGCGAAACACATTTACCTGATGAATTCGTTTGACTAAATTAAACTTCGATGTAAATACGTCTCTTTCGTTTCAAGCCGTAATTGAGTAATGGGTTAAGCCGCGTCCGTGTCGTGCAGTTATATATTTCAAAAGGAAGTTCACTGGAAACTTTTGGAAGCGACGAATCGTTCAGTTAGCAACCGCGTTGATTGCAATGCATCATAAGAATTTTTCCAAGGGGAATGGTTCGTTAAATTGCCGAGTTCAGAGCACTCAATTTCTAATTTACCAAGCTGAAATTTCCAAACCTAAGTTTTCAGTTGGGAATTTTTTTATTTTTTATTTTTATTATTTTTATTTAATCCTTGCCTACTAGGCTTAGGATGACTTCCAGTATACATCTTTGTCTTTTCGCTGTATGGTGGGGTGTATGGCTACATTTACATCTATTTTCTTACCCTAATCTATTAATCGCGGTAGGAACTAGTATTCTGGAAATTGGGAATTTATAAAATTTCAAAATTAGGAAATTCTGTTCCGACGAGCCATTGGAACTACCACGTTGATATCTGTTAAATATTTTTCTTGCGGAAGATGATTCCTTAAATTATCGAGTTTGAGTGTTATTCAAATTCCAGTTTTGAAGTTTACAATTTCAAGTTTCACAGAAACGGGCAATATCGACGGAGCTCGAGTGTCCACGCAGAGAGTGTGCCACGTATCCGATTCAAAGATCCACGATATGGCTACTTAAATAACAGCGTTAAAGGCGATGAAGCTGTCTGACGGATAAACGCGTTAATGAGCTTCGAGTTCCGTAATCATCAGCCCGTTCAATTCCGATTTAACCGTCCGTCTTTCGCCTTTCGTCTCGTTGTTGGACGCCTCGCGTCAAGTTTGATCGTAAAACTTCGCAAACCATGTTAAATGGGAGCCGACATTTCCATCAAATTGGGAGCGTTAAGCTCTTTGTTTCTGTTTGTTTAACGCGATTCAAATTACTCGAGCAACTTTACTCGACGACCATTCCAGCGATCCTTTCGTTTCCATCTTTGAATTCAATTTTTAACAAGTTCCGCGTTGCAAGTTGTTAGCCGGTGAGTTGTTCCGCGAGCACTCCTTTGTGTTGCCTGTTGTCTGTATTTTTCGTTTCACTTCTTGTTCAAGTTCGTTTTACTCGTACGTTTACTTTGTCTGAACACCGCACGAATGTCTTGAAATTTCATCGGCCCTGATATTTCTCCGATACGTTGTTGCATTTACAGTCGAAGACACGAAGATGAGATTTAGCCTGACTCCGCAACCAGGAGAAAGTGGTTTCATACAATGGCTGGACGCGATGAAAATGGTTGCCAGGTTACCAGGAGGAATACCGCCGGAATTTCGAAGGAAGGCGAGTACCAGACGAGATTTTTACACTTATTTACGAGATTATCGTCCGGATGATGGAACAGATTTTATCGTGACCCTCGTGTTTTCTCGAAATTGTTTCACAGTTGTGGCTGACGCTGGCGGAACGTCACCTAGAGCAGCGCGGCGTGGATTGGAAGCAGGCTGAAAAGATCTGCTTCAACGAGTGGAGTAATCCTGACGATGAAGAGCTCGGTATACAAATCGTTAAAGTAAGAATGCGAAACGTACATCCTTTTTACAATAGTCGGCGCTCTCGTGAATTCTACGTTCACCCCGTCGTAATGACGACAGCGACATGATTTTTCGAGACAAGTGGCTGAATTTGAAATTCAAATGGCACGTTCCTTTTTTTCTATTGTACATCTTTGTTTCAACGCGTATCACTAATGAACGTTGTTAGGTACAAACCAATTCAGATAACGAACGAGAAGTAACTTCCTCGTTGTCTGTTTACTAACTAATAGGTCTTTAAAAATGAGTATTAATAGATTCTTGTTCGTCACATTCGTTCATTGAATTATTCATTCATTTGTACAAATTCTCTATCGATATCTCTTCTCGTTGTCGTCAAACAACGTTCGAAAACGCGCAGTTGAAATATTTCCCAACTTCCAAACAGCTTTCACTCTCCGTTACATTTCGATCGAATACTTCTCAAATAATCTTCCCGAAAACCAGTTTCCCGTATACGCTCCACGAAAATCTCATCCCATAATTTCTTACCTCTCGTATAATTACGCGCAATTAAATTTTGATCATCAATCACTTCGACGCCGGGCAATTAAGTGTCGCCAATGAGCCTTCCAATTAACTCGCTCGCGACGAGAAAAAGCGACCATTAACGAGACTGGCCAGAGTCGCCGAAACTCAGCCAAGCTTGTTTCATTTTCCTCTGAAGTTTCCTTTGGAGTTCTGTAAGCATAAAATTCTACGGATACTCATTGCCAGCCGTAGATATTAGCAACTGGTATATTATAAGGATTTTGATATTCGGATGGCCATCACTTTCTACGAAAATATAAAGAAAAAAACTTGTTCAGCGTTGGTATTGTTAGCTGTAATTATCATATACTCCGTAAGTAAGTAATTTTCTTGCTAGATTTTAAAAAAGATATTTCGTGCTTTTTGTCACTTTATTAAATGCTACCCTAAAAGTTATTTTACAATTAGAAGAATTTTAATACGTTGAAGTTTAGCTGGCTCAAAATAACCCTGTCTCGTCGTATACGTCGTGTATGTGTATATACATTGTTCGTCTGAATTTTTCCCAGGATCTACACAGAACGGGCTGCAGTCTGTTTTGCGGTGCAGCCGGCAGAGACAATCAAGCGGTGCTTCGCCGAGTTCTGCTCGGTTTCGCCCGATGGAACAAGTCCGTCGGCTATTGCCAGGGCCTGAACGTGTTGGCCGCCCTCGTTCTGCAAGTTATGGATCGCGCCGAGTCCGCCGCGGTGAAGGTGATGATCTACTTGATAGAGGGTGTCCTGCCGGAGGGTTACTTCGCGGATAATCTGCGTGGCTTGTCGGTCGACATGGCGGTGTTTCGCGATCTCCTTCGGGCCAGGTTGCCCAAGCTCTCAAAACACCTGGAGGCGCTACAGAACGACGCGAAGGACAAGGCGACAGGTAACCAAACTGGTTGTGCAATCGTAACTCCCCTGTTCGATACAGTTGAACGGACCCGGGATCGTGTCCCGGGGGCGCTGTTACCGGCTTATCTTGTTGGCGAAAAACGAAAAAAGAAAAAAATATGTGTGTGTGTGTGTATATATATTTGTCCAGGCAGCAGTTACGAGCCACCTCTGACGAATGTGTTCACGATGCAATGGTTCCTTACTCTCTTCTGTCACTGTCTGCCCCAAGAGGCGGTTCTGCGCGTATGGGATCTGATATTTCTCGAGGGAGACGAGATACTGCTTAGAACCGCGCTGGCTATCTGGGAAGGACTTTCCGAGTAAGTGAAAGAGGATCTAAGATCTCTAAGTAGGTGTCATTGTTCGATCGGGCACTGATAGAGCGATGTCGTTTTGGTTTCAGTCGTATCATGACGGTGACATCGGCGGACGAGTTTTATAGCATAATGGGAGTGCTGACGAGGGAGATGCTCGAGTTTACGGACACTAATAACCTCATAAAGGTTTGTTACAGTCTTTCGTGGAATTGTTACAAGTGTCGCGTTATCAGACTCGATTCTTGACAAATGACAACGATTATGACAGAATATCGTCAGTATGGGGCCTTTGCACGGTGTAACGGGATTGAGAGAGAAGCACAGATACAATATCACACCTTGGGCAAGAAAACTGAGCGACGACGACGACAGCGACACGGAGGAGGATGAAAGGCTGGCTGTGGCTGCTGCGATGTTCAGCATGGCGCAACGGCTAAAGAAAGGTACGAAGTAAAAATACGTTAACATTGTAATCGTTGTACATTGTTAGGGTATTAGCCGTGATTATTTCATAAAAAAAAAAACACGTTCGCAGATCGTATACCTCAAACGATTGGAGCGCTGCAGGCAATGGCACCCAGCAGCGATCGAGAACGGCTAGCTTTGGACATTAGCACTCTGAAACAGCAGTACGCCAAGCTGCGTGAACGTCAACGACAGGCGCACATTATACTTTCTGGTAATTGCTGATTTTAATCGTAGAATTAGACGTACTTCGCTGTGGTTCAAGGCACGATAAATCATCTCGTTCGCTCCATCGCTTTTGAGACGCGTGCTTGACATAAATGTTCCGCATAGGTTAAAGAGCCTTTGACCAATGGTAGAATAAGACCAATGGAAGTATATGTCTGTTGCAAATTGAACGGCTACAAGAATGCATACGTTACTTTTTTTTCCCCTTGGCGCAGCTGCATGTGCAAGGCAGACCATGGTACCACCTCCTACTTCTCAGGCCATGAATCATCTTTTAGTGGGCAAAAGTGCGCTCGTGAGTGGGAAGAATCGACCCCTGAGTCTACCTTCCGGTGCCGCAACGACTAAGACGAGACCCACGACTTTAAATCAAAACCGAAGGGACAGACAGGGCGTCACGCTTCATTGGAAAGACACTAAGAAACCGAAACAGAAACCCTCGAATTCATCAGGTACACAGGATACGAACGGGACTCGTGCAAAATTTTCTTGCGAGATTTATTTGCAATCTTTCCTTTGATATTTAAATTAAATTACAACATTTGTCTTTTTTTAAATTTGACGAAATAGTTTATTTATTGATTGACGGTAATAAAGTACCGATAGATGGTAATATAGGAAACTTTAGGTACCATCGATTGGTCAATTACCAACGGCCAGTTAATTCATACAATACCTGTTTTATCAACAATAAGAATAGAAGTGTTCGAGAGATACTCTGAATAGCCTACTTTGCATTTCCACCATTGATGATGAAAAAGAAAAGAATAAAGATCAGTTATTATAAAATTTCACAATCAAGTTAGAAAAATATCCCATTTTTTTTTTTTTTTTTATCACAAATTGAAAGGAATTGAAAGTAAGCGTAATGTGCTAATACACTTTCGTATTTCTTCCGAAAGCGACGGAAAGCAGCGTTGCAACAATGCAACTCGTGCAAGCTGAACTGGCGTCTCCGAAAAAGAGCAACAGTGACAGCGACACAGATAGCACGTCGACGGAATTGTGCGACGAGCCGGACCGCCTCAGCGACGTTGACAGCGAAGACCTGACGTCAGCATCCGAATTCTACGTCCACGGAACAGACGAGGAAAAGAGCTCTCGAGTGGACGGTTCACCAATTCCCGAGAAGGCACTCGACCGACCTGTTCTCGAGGAGAAGACAGAGCCAATTAACGCGGAGAGTTCGAGAGACTCGAAAATTACCGAGGAGAACTTGGGTGACATATCGATCGCCAAGATCACCGATCAAATAAGACGATTATCAGCAGAAGATGACAATAACTCGATGGTTCCTCAAAAATTTAGCACGCAGAGCAAAGAATCGCCCGACGAGCAGTCGACAGAATTAGAAAAAGGAAAGTCGTCACCAGACTTGGCCGTAGATTGTACGACACCTGACAGTAATCTCGTTAAAAAATCATTGGCTTTGAACGAATACGATTATCTAAGTTTCAGTGGTAGTACGATCGGTTCAAAAGATGACGAGGTATTGGTCCACGAAAGATATCGACCCAAGCAGACGACAGACGAGGTTTCAGATGTACCTCTAGACGAAGTTACGACAATCAAAAAAGACCAAATTGAAGACAAAGCATCTACGATTATCAAACAGGATTCTCTGAACGTGTACTCGAATTATTCACCATCTTTGGAGAAGTATGATAAAACCGATATGTCTACCTTGAATAAGAAGTACGATGAAATCAAGGATACATCTATCTTGGATAAAAAGTTCGATGAAATCATGGATAAATCAATTCTGGATAAGAAATACGACGAAATCGCGGATACATCTATCTTGGACAAAAAGTTCGAGAAAATCATGGATAAATCAACTCTGAATGAGAAATACGATGAAATCGCGGATACATCTATCTTGGATAAAAAGTTCGATAAAATCACGGATAAATCAACTCTAGATAAGAAATACGATAAAATCGCGGATACATCATCGATCTTGGATATAAAGTTCGATAAAATCAAGGATAAATCAACTCTGGATAAGAAGTACGATAAAATCGCCGATACATCGATCTTGGAGAATATAAAGTACGATAAAATCGCAGATCAATCAATTTTGGATAAGAAATATGACGAAATCGCGGATACATCTACCTTGGATAAGAAGTACGATAGAATCACTGATAAATCAACTTTGGAGAAGAAGTACGATCAAATCGTGAATAAATCAACCCTCGATTTGGGCTTGGAGAATGAGATTAAATCGGATCTCTATACAGCATCCTTCGATTTCTCTAACAGAGTGTCTCTGGACTTGAAATCGTACGAAACTTCGAAAATGGGCAGATTAATTAGTGACACGTCGGACATAGTGAACACCGAAAGAACGCTTTATGGCATGACCTACGTTGGTCATCTCCCTGTTTCACCTGTAACGGTCGATCAGAAATTAAGCAGAGTGACACCTACTATACGCACGACGCACGACACCACTGCGTTAACTTGCGAGACGCCTAAAACTCTAGACACAACATCGTTAGAAAAGACGCCATACAGCGACAGGATACAAATGACACAAACGAAAATTTACTCAGACCTGGCGAAAAGTCCTAAGACACCAGAGAGCAACAAGTCTTTCAGTTCGGGTGAAACGATGGGGCCGGACTCGAAACCGTCGAGCCTTTCGGTCAGTCCGAGAACACCGATCCGATCCGATTCACGAGACTTCTCTGTGGACAAATCGGCGCGTTCGTCGATTAGTTCGGACTCGAAGACTTTGGTTCTTCGCTCCGTAGATTCAGACAGCGTGAACAAATCCGACGCGAAGAAAATGTACGAGATGTCGAATTCCACGACGCCTATCAGCGTGGACTCGTTGAAGAACAAGTCCGAGGCTAGTCCAAAATTGATGGTGAGCAGCTCGAGCGAGTCGTGTAGTCCGAGTAAATTCAAGTCTTCCGAGAGGTCATTCAGTTCGGACCTGCAATCGCCAATAAGTGCCAACTCGATAAAGTATACCTCGAATTTTAATAGACGTGGCCAAGACGACGTGTCAGGCTCGCCTATGGACCTGAGCAGCGCTACCTCGCCGTTCTATCCGATCTCGAATCCGAATCAAAAGACACCGACGTCTCCGTACGGCGTTTCCAGAAGGAGATCCAGTTTGGACAGCAGTGAAACGTCACCTGAGCAGAAATCGACCAGCTCGAGGGAGTCGAGCAAGTTCCTAGGCTACCAGTCCAAGTTTGACTCCTCGTTGAAGACGTCCGACGTGAAAGATCCAGACAGCGTGGCTCGAAAAGCCGACACTTTCGTTCGACCAGAGTTCAACACGAGAAAAAACGAGTCGAGTATTAATTTGACGGACAGGAGGAGCGAGGTTGGTGATGCCAAGTATTATCAAACGACAAGTACGGATTACTATCGCAACGACAAGGATGCATTCGACGACGGCGGAGAGGATCCCGTGTCGGAGAAAGACGTGGTACCTTCTTTGCCTCAGGAGAAGCTGGACAAGCGTTATCTCAACTATCGCTATAGAGACAGATCGAAGTTGTTGGAAAGAAGTTCGAGCAGTTTGGACAGTAGGAGGTACGCTGACATGAAATCGTCAGCTTCTACCGACGAGTTTACTACGTCGATCGCGCAAAAGAGATCGAGCGATATTCTGGAAGATATCAAACACTTGGAGGCGAAAGCGAACGATGGTTCGTCGGATAGTGGTATGTTGACGAAGAAGAGCAGCTACATCTGGGAGGATATGAAGAATCTGGAGGCCAGGAGGCAGGACACCTTCAGTGATTCAGCGAGAAACTTCTCGAAGCATCGTTTGGAGATACCGGACATAAATATCACCGGTGAAGGTAGAAAGTCGTACGTGGTACATCCGAAGATCAACATCGACGAGAACAGCGACAGCATATTAAAAACCATGGCCTGTGGCAAGGCCGACGACACGGACGATGGCAGGGAATCGAAATTGGGCGTGTGGACGAAGGTGAAGCCCCGCAAAAAGAGTGACAACGGGCGGAGAAACAGCGACAGGGCGTTGAAGATCATTCAAGAGAACTCCGCCATACTTCAAAAGATTCTCGCCTGCCAGGCAAAAAAGCGTCTGCCGGATCTCGAGGAGATATCCAAGGAAATCACCATTAGCCCGATAAACGAGGAGATTTCGAAGATCTTTAGCCCAATATTGGAGAAGATGGGGTTGAACGAGCACGAGATCAACGAGGAACTGGCGAGGATCAACTTCAAAGATTTCGACAACATGACCGCCACCAGCGTGTCCGAGTTCGACGCCAAGATCAACGAGGAATTGTCGAAGCTTTCGCTGATCGACGAAACGGAGCAGATGGACCATTTCGACGTGGATGAAGTGATATCGCACGAATATTTGGACTCGAGGGAGGCTCAGATAGATCGTAAGATAAACGAGGAGTTATCGAAACTGTTGGCAAACTACGACGATCATTCCCCGGCTAGTATGGTAAGTCTGGACAAAGGTTCGTCGAGTCAGAATATCAGCGAGATCGAAGGACTGGATCTGTCCAGCATCTCGACCAACGTGTTCTCCTACAAATCGTCCAACGACTCGATCGACGCGCGCAGCGACCTCGGCTCGGCGCCGGAACCATCAATCCCAGTTGACAAGTTTCCCAAGTACACGGAAAACGTGTTGCCGTACGCGGTGTCGAAGTATCAGGTGGACGACTCGTCGCCCAAGAGCGACATAGACATCTACAGAGAGTTAGAGAAGCTCGATAAGATCTCCTCGGCGCAGGTGTTGCCAGATCCGACTCTGGAACTTCCACAAAAGGAACTGTCCTCGATCCCTTACGTTCCGGACACGTCGCCGTTCAAGGACGTACCACCACTACGATACACCTCCAAGCCGATTCAATACGACACTTCACCCTTGAAGACCTCTTACGACCTCTACAAGACGTTCGACTTCAAGAGCAAGTTATCGCCCAAACACATATCGACCAATCCATTCGTGACAGCCACGTACGAGAAACCTGTGATGGAGACAGCTTTCGAGTACATCAACCATAAGTCGGAGATCCCGATCAACACGTACGATTTGCACTTGAAGAGTCCGATGATAACGAAAGAATCGCTGGAGTTTCGCGTTAGATACGACGACGAGCCAGTGAGGGAAGTCAGCGGCGGCGATTACATGTCCCTTCAGCCGGAAAGCAGATCGATCGCTACGCCGAACAAGTCCCCATACTTCAGCAACGGCAACACCGAACCGTTGACGCCCACGAAGTACATGTCGAAAGAGGAAAGAATCATGGACACAGCTGGTACCTCGTACCTGGACTATCCCAGCGAATCGTCCGATCTTCTTCGCCGGAAATACGACGCTTTGTCTCCTAAGGAGTACACTCACGCAAAGAGCACGGATTACGACAGACACTTGGTCACGTTACCACCTATTGAGCCGGGAGCTGAGACCGGATCGTATTTGCCGACGAGACACCGGGATTATCACCCATTGTCGCCGAATCGTCAGTTTCCAGAACACTTCTCCTCCGCTATTAATCATCACTATGCCGCGAAACTTTCGCCGGGTCTCTCTGACGAATCGAAACGACCTGTCTCCCACCCGGAGTTCCCTGGCAAGATCAACGTTGGAAAGTATTCGGAGTTGTCCGAGAGGGGTTCCAGCGGTTACAAGAAGTCGTCGTTGAGCTTAGGGAACATCGGGCACTCGAGCAAAGCGGCTGATAACAATTACAACACCGTGACCAGCCCGAAGACGCAGTTCAGCCCTTTCCCTGTTCGAAACGCTCCTAGAAAACCGAAGGAACTCACTCTCAAACTGGGCCTCTACTTGCCCAAGAGTTCCGACATTGGACAGTTGAAGAGGTCATAGTCTAGAACGATAAGAATTCTGCTTTTGTCCCGTTGATTTCTCTGTACGAAATATCGTCGATCGTCGATTGTTGATTCCGCGTGATTATGCTCGAACCGTACGGACCGTCTCTGTTACGGTGATGTTCGCATTGACAGTGACCTCGATGTTACCAAAGCGGGCCTAAATTTATCGTTTGTGGTGCCTGACGTTACCAACAGCCCGTAGCTGTCGTTACCGCTGTAATACGTTATATATGGGTTTATGCACAGGTATCGATCGTAGAAATTGCAAAGTCTGTCTTTCTCTGACACGAACGTAGTACGATCGCGGAACGCGTTTGTTTCTTTTCAAATCGACTCTCGTGTCTGTCAGTTTCTCGTCGTTTGTTAATATCTTTACTGAAGACTTAATTTTACGAATGCCTCCTCTATTTTACTTCGTTAATTTTTTTACAATTATATACATGTTATTGTAATTTTAATTTTGGCTCGGTTTTAGTAACTCGCGAGCTACTTCACTCGAGAGGTTCGCACCTTTGGATTTAGAAAATTGACAGAAATTTTTATCGTGAAATGTTTCTTACGGTTTTGTTTTACAGTGACGTGATCTAAACGTAGCAATTGAAATTCATATTTACACGTGAACACGTTGATACGAGAGAACAGTGTCAGAAGAAGGGGCACGACTTCGATACGTTGCGCAGAAATATCGCTACTTAATCCCTTAGTGTTAATCATTAACTCGTTTTCCGCGAATGTTCATAGTCTACGAACGTTGACTAATTAAAAATTGTTTTCCTTTTTTCTACGAGCTATGCTTGATACAGCTTGACACACACAGAAGAATCTTTTCGTCGTAGAAACGCAAAAATACAAAGGGAAAAAGGAAAGGAGAGAGGGGGAGAGAGAGAGGAAGAGGAAATAGAATTGCAAGAATAGCGTAGAAATCCTTGGCGAAACGTGGTCGTGCGATTTCTAATACGATGCCTTTAGTCTCCCTCCAATCACGCAGAAAATACCTCGTTATCACGTCTTGATTATTCAGTAAATTTGCGCTAAGTAGTCCGCGGAAGCGCACGAAGCCTACCAGCGAGAAGAAATATAAAAAGAAGGTGAAGAAGCAGGAAAAGGAGGAGAGAAAGAAAAAGGAAACGAGGAGGAGAGGTAGGAGAAAGAGAGACGAAGAGGGAAAAATGTTACAAAATGCCTTCCATTCCTTCGAACGCGATTCGCTTTGCTACGGTGATCTCGCATGCGATCGTAAATCACGACACTGATCGCGAGACCGTGGTAACGTGAAATTTCCTTCGAACAGAGATAGAATATATAATACAACCGCGGAGAGATTGTATAAAATTATAGAAGTTGTTACGACCGGAGTCAGCGATATAGAGCTTAATTTGTCCGTACGTTTCCCGCAGAGAACCTAGCCGTGCAGTGGGCGTATCGTTTAAGTAAAGATCGGCTAAGTACCATTATTCGAGGCTACAGACACGAAAGGGGCAGGGAGGCAGGAAAAACAAATTGTACATAACTACATAGACGTTAATTGTATATTATTAAAGGGAAAGGGGCGACGGAGAGAAAGAAGAAACAACAAACCGAGTGGGAGGAGGAGGAGGAGGAGGAGGAGGAGGTGGAGAGGGGGAGGAGTAGTTGGAGATCTTTTTATATAAAATGAAAAAAATAAAAGTGTAGTATTTTTAGATGTTTCTAATATGAGATAGTCTTGGTATCGTCGCCGTCATTGAACGAGCTTAGCTGACAATGAGCTACGCTTGTCGCGAGAACGTTCGTTCTTTCTTGCGTATTCTTTGTTACCAGATACATACGACTGAGAAGGAGGAGGCAATCCTATGTTTTAAATGAATTCACATTTAAAATGGTCTACGAGTTTAAAGTGGAAACTTTGAATTGACTATTGTTCGGTTACTTTTATATATATACACATATATTACATATATCTTTTAAACTATTGTATCTTTTATATATAGATATTGCATCTTCGCTCGAGGATTGTAACGCGAACCTCGACGACACCTTCAATCGATATTTTGTAAACGGCAAGTTTCAGTCTATTGTAATTCTTGAACTGTCGTTCGAGTCTGTAATTAGAAAATTTCAAAATTTGCCGGAGGAAGATGACACAAGGAGAAAAGGAAAATGTGAAAAATCTAATCTCGGATCTCTCGAACAAGCGTTAACGAAGTAACTACGCGGAAAGAGTTTTACATAGGCAGAGATAACCTGCAATTTATTTTCATTGGCTTGCGTAGCGATATAGATGTCGATCTGTCGATCATTACGTCCAATTTAATCACCGATGGCAGGTAGATTTGTCAATTCGCGGCCGCGGACGCGTGCAGATTTTTATACGCGCCGTGTTTAAGCTCTCGAGGAGACGCGTATAGTCCCCGGCGACGCCGACGGTTAACTAAATAGGAGCAGAAGCGTGGATCGTCGACAAAATTTCCCGAAGTAGCTGCGTCAATGTGCCTCTACGATCATCCCGCGTCATAGTTACGGCTAAATTTTTCACAACGACGTGTCGAGAGTTTGGAAAAGCGAAGAGAAGGAAACGGAAACAAAGAGAAAGGAAGCCAGAAAAATTCTCTTCGACGTCGTGCAAATCGCATCATATTGATTATAGTCCTTCTTGTCTACGTCGATTACTCTAAAGAAAGGAAACTCACGCTTCTAGACGAAATTCTACGCATATTACAAATTAGCTTACTAGATACAACTCGCTGATTCTATCGCGACGAAGAAGGGAGAACCACGAGATGACTCACTGTTACCACTGATCCACGTGAAACGCGTACGGATCTTAACGCGACAATTTTTGCACTCCATTGGACGATGCATAAGGAATCCTCTCTCCCGCGTAAAGAAATCGTAATTGTAAGTACGAGCTGGCGTTGTCTGCGACGCTGTGTTACGTTTTTCATGGCCAACGAGGACGAGGACGAGGAATCGCCATCGCCGATCTTCGACCGACGAGCGATCAAATCCAGTGAACCGAACACACCGTCGGTTCGGACGCCTGTGAGGAATAGAAAGTATTTGTAAAAGGTGCTTTAACGAGGCATTCTGGTGCGTTAGGAGAAAAGAAAAATAGAAAGCAGAAGAAAAAAAGAAAAAAAAAACAGAGTAATAAAGAAAACTATCTAGGACGTAGATAGCTGGTAAGGAATCGATGACAAAGACATCGTTTATTCGTTGTGTCTCGCGAATGGTCGTTTTTCCAGGGACGGTATATCGCCGTGATTCCCAGCATTCGGTTCGTAACAATTCGGTTCACTTCGTTTGTGACAACTTCCCGGGTGTAATTCGTTGTTCCGACAATATGACACGCGTTCTCGATTTGTTTTTCTATGGTTATTTCTTAACGGCGGAAGCATTTTTTAACGTACAGCGAAATCGAGCTAACACGCGAAAATCATCGTTAATAAAGAGGCGATCAGAGTTTTTTCTACGTGGGCAGTTGAAAGGGGAAATGTAGCGAAGAAAAGAAAAATAGTGAAAGGAGATGCGTGTTTCTAGAATGTCGCCTTCGTGTGGCGATCGTTGCGAAAAACGTTGTTGTTAACGAAGAGGGCACACGAATCCTATTAGAAGAGAAATCATTTATAAAGAAATGTTATATTTACAAAATAAAAAAGAAGAGGGTTTGTATGAACTTGTTACGCGAATGTTTTGTGAGAGTTGTTGTAAATACCTGTCGGTGCGAGTCATGCCAGATATAAGACTGTATAATTTGATGAGCGTAGAGATGTAAGACGTTATGAATAAAAAGAAAAGACAAAAAAAAAGAAAGAAAAAAAAAAATAAACGGAATGAAACATATGTACATTTAGGAACGCACTTTGTCCCTCGACGAATATGTTCGATTTTTACGGCATGGTATCGAATAACGTTCGCGATATATCCTTTAATAAAAATACCATTTCGTTCCTAGAACGTTCCTCTATCAGTAAGAGAAACAATATCTTATTTTAACGTTGAAGCGTTTCGCTCTGCTCGCAAAGGAGTATTGAAAGAAGAAAGAAGAAAATAAATAAAGGAGGGAGAGAGAAAGAAGAAGAAAAAAATAAATAAAAGGGACGAGCGTAAGAAAAGGATGTATCGTAGATAGTTCTAGATTGAAACTTATTGACTCCAGCCGTATCTTTTCCTCATAAACAGCACGCACTGCCTCCGATATCTTGCGGTGGAGTGGACATTTCATTTCGTTAACGCGATTACGCGTGTTCATACGCGGAGTATCACAAACTCATTTTAATTGGGATTACGTTTCAATTAAAACTCCGTTCCCCATTAGGCGGCAGCGTTGAATTTTGGAGAATAATTGATACGAACAACACGTTATCCGATTGCCAGGCCAGATAAAATATGCATGTTTGCCAATCAAAAGGTGTCCAGGGTTATACACCTGTTCGTTCTCTTCTCCCCGGATAAATATGCGATTACCGCGGGTTCTCCACGTGGAAACACTTTATCGTGTACACCGCATTCACACACACACACAAATATATACATGCGTACGTACGTGAGAATCGCACGAGACGTAACCAGCGAACACTGATACCTTTGAGTCGGTCCCGATGAAATTTTAATGACGCGCAAAATCGGAAACCCATTCGCCTTTCACCCGGTTTCCTGTTGTTTTCGCGCGGTGGTTTTACACCGGAGCAACGCAACTGGCTAACCACGTTCCCATTCATAAATTAAAACGTACAGGGAACAATTACATTTGCGTCCCGCCTTTCGCGCGAATTACTCGAGAGTGAATTTTATCGAGCGGCCGCCAACTTTTGTTCAACGTTTGCCCGATATATTTGTTTCGAAATTCCTTTTATATTGAAATTCTCATCAGCCACGATTGTAACGTTTCGCCGGCAATTTTTCTATTAACCGCAACGTTTCGCCGCGCGTTCAAGGATCCGCTTCCATTTTGCCGAGTGCCCCGCGCAAATGGACTCCTTTGAATTTAAACACGAGATTAAAATTTGAACCCGGTTACTGCTAAATATTATTCCGCGGTGGAAATACCTTTCCCTATATATATTTTACTCGTTAATCGATTCTCTTTCAAATATTTGAAAACTGCCAACTTGATATTAACGAATATTTCTGCCGTGCCGGGGAAAGCGATTCGCTGTTGTTGCAGGGATTCACGCGAGAATAGAATCGTCTCTGATGAGCCAATTATAAAATGAAACCGATCGATTCTTGCCGTTTTTTAAACAAAATAGCTTCAAGTTTCCAAAAACACGACGAGCAGGTCGTCGCTAGTTCTGCATAAAACAGAAAGGCAATTTGCCACTTTTGATTTCATCGATTTCCACTGGAAAGGAGTGAAATCGGTAACAAGGGGAGAAGAATCGTTCGAAAATCCACTGGGAAAATTATTGGGATTCAACGCGTTCGAGATTCGAATTTACGAAACATTTCTTCTCTTTCCTTCTTTCTTTCTTCTTCTTTTTTCCCCTCTCTCTTTATTGAATTCGCGATCGCTACGGTGGCTTTGAGAATTTTCAGCGGATTTTAACGCGGCGAGCCGATGCAAAGGATACAAAAGTTTAATAAATCCATTCATCGCGTTTAATACGAAGAGAGAAAAGAGAGAGAGAGAAAGAGAGAGAGGGGCGTCGCTTAGCTGTGAGCTCGCTTACTGCCGACGCAACATATTCAGCAATTTGTTCGTCCGATGAAATATCCGTTCGTTCTCGCAATTTATCCGTTTGGCAAAATGACAATTCGACAGTTTGTCCCATGAACGGAGAGTGACGATTCACCGATTGGACAACTGATCCTCTCCGCGCTTCGATCCTTTCATTCAATATATTTTTTTCTTTTTTCTTTTTTTGCTCACTCCCGTAATAAATTCGTTTACCTACCACCCCCGCGTTTTTTCTTTTTTTTTCACGGTCTCGTTTGATTAACTACGAGCGGATCACGTAATTTCCGGAAAAAATTCTGGCACTACCGATCGGACGCATACATTTTTTTTTTGGGCTGTTTCTTTTTCGCCCGGGGGGGGGGGGGGGGGGGGGGGGGAGGAGGAGGAGAAAGAAGAGAGAAGAAAGAGATCAAAAATGGATGGACATCGTTACTTTTTTCCATGTCGATCGTTCCAATTTCCATTTTTATAACTGCTGTTTTTTTTTCTTTTTTCCTTTCGGCTGGAATACACGGCTGGCTAAGAAAACAACGGCACAATTCGAGAGGGAATAGAGATCGGAACAAAGGAACCAGGCAACGAGAAGTAACGACGAAGCGGAGGCATTAAATGCCAAGGAAACCGAGAGAAAGAAAGCAACATTGACTAATCACAGAAATTTCTCTCTCTCTCTCTCTCTCTCTCTCTCTCTCTCTGTCGGTTGTACAAAAACAGCTTGACAAAAATTTCCTTCAGCGGAGATTGCTTCGCGGAACAGCAACACGGGAATCCTCTCGAAACGTGCTCGCGATTTCTAATACCGGAGATCCTGCTTCCGTTCTCGTCTCGATGTTGCGCGAGATCTTGCCCCGATTATTCTGTAAATTGCGATCGAGCGCCCCTGGAAGCATACAAAGTATACTCGAAGCAGAAACGAGAGAAAAAGCGTGGATCATTTTTCGTTTGAATTTCGATCCACCGGATCGCCGAGTAAGTAGCAGAAGGAAACGTAGAATTTGGAGAATAGGAAACGATGATAAAGAAGAAAAGAAAAAATAGCAGAATGAGAAACGAGGAGAACCGAAAAGGAGGAACGCAGGGCAGAGTCCAAGAGTGGGTGGCCACAGAAGCGAGTTACGGTTACGCGGAGTAATATACACGTATTCCGTTATGGAAATTAGCATAACCGAAGGTGTGTACACGCGAGAGTGGGCGCGCGTCCGCGCACGACAATCCAAGCTGAGACATCCACTGCATCCGTAATGTCGTCCCCGATGCCTTCGGTTCTCCTGCTTCTTGCCCTCGTATCACGCCCGACGACGATACATCTTCGACGTATCTTGCGTGTATCTCGAGTTATATCCAAGAATCCCATCGCGAAATCGGTATAATCGAAGAACGTGCGCCGTTTCTTGTCTCATCGTCGGATTCGTGATCTGAGACTCGGACGCGAATCGGCGGTCGAACGACGGAAAGAAACGGCGGCGACGCGTTTCAAACTCGGTTCTCTGGTAGTTTGCACTTTGCGCGCCGGTGCTCGCGGATTTAATGGCGGCGATTTAAAAATCACTGTCGCGCTGGATTTTTCGAGGCAATTGACCGAGGAACGAGCGACTCTTCGATATTTTTCGTCGGGACGACTTGAATGGCCGGTGAGATTGACCGATTGTTTGCGCCAACAGCCGGCCCATTCTTTCGGCGACAAATCGAAGGAAATTACCGAGCGGCTATAGTGGCGCTGGCGGTACTAGCCAGTATGCATTGAAATTTCGACAATCCTGTAAAAATCGGTTTTCAGAGAGGGCGGCCGGAGGGACTACGCCGGCACGGAGAACGCGATTGATCTGCATTGTAATGGGAAAATTTGAAAGTGCCCGCGCGCACTTTGTCGCTCGGCGCGAATTACCAAACCATTTTCGAGGAAATTCCCGAACAGAAAAATGCGGTTGTTCGAACATAGGGTGCGTCGATCTGCATTTTAATACGAAAACACCACACCGCCGGCTGGTAGGAGAAG